TACATACATACATACATACATACATACATACATACATACATACATACATACATACATACATACATACATACATACATAAAAACATACATACATACATATTTTTATGATCGTTACCATAATGGCAATATCATAAGACGAACTATTTATAGATGAAGAATATGGGCGCGGTTGTTTTAAAAATAGAATTTAAAAATTCCAAAGTTTTTTCATCATCAGCGTTATCATTTTTCGTTATCATTATCATCGTCGTTATCATTATCGTCAATGTCATCATCATCATCATCATCATCATCATCATCATCATCATCATCATCATCATCATCATCATCATCATCATCATTATGTTGATCGGACATGTGTTTTTTAAAAGGCACTTTATCTCGCTAATGGTTCGGCATCATTACCATAATCTTCCCGAGCGCCATTACCATCATTATCATGACCGCCATCACTATCATCATCGTCATCATCGTCATCATCGTCATCATCGTCATCACCATTCTTAGTATATTAACGTCCCTAGCATTGTAGTTAATGGTGTCAATTTAATAATGTCAATAAGTTATGATGATGATGATGATGATGATGACCGAGAAGTTGATGACGATGACGATGATGATGATGATGATGATGATGATGATGATGATGATGATGACGTTGGCCATGATGACGACGACGATGATGACGTAATAAAAAAATCGGTAAATATATATTTATATGTACAGGCGTCTCAAATGCTTGCTGCATTGTTTTGTTTAGTTGTATTGCAATGAATGATCGAGTGAATGAACGAATGATTGAACGAATAAACGAACGAACGAATGAATGAACGAATAAACGAACGAACGAACGAATGGATGAATAAATGGATGAATGAGTGAAAAAATGGATAGATGAATAGTCCAAAAACAAATGCGTATGTATAAGACGTTTTTATGAATATATTTAAGCGTCTGTGCATGTTTGTGAACATTCATGTATCATACATGTTTGTATATATGTTTGTTTGTATGAATGTTTGTATGTACGTATGTATGTATATAGGT